GACGACATTGCGCGCTCTACTGACACATTGTGTTCTGTTAAGTCTCAATTTAAACGTCTGTATAGTTCGGCTCGTTCGTTCCTTTCCTATCACGACTACCTCAGATTCAGTACACTCCTGACGAGTTGGAAGATGAGACGGAGGACGAGGTTGCGGTTGGTGGAGACGAGGAATCGGATGGTGATTGTGATCGTAAGAAGTCTGCCGTTTTTCTTCATCTGTTGTCTCACCCTAAGTGTCTGCAGGTGTATGATGATTTTAGTTTTTCTGTTCTTTGTCGTGCACGGTACGCTAGTCAGTTGAAAGTACTTGAGGCTGTTTGTATTTGTTTGCATAAGCCTGATCTTTGTAAGCAGAAGAAACATGTAGTTGCGTTAAGATTGTTTTCGCAGGTGCACAGCATGATTGTCTCAATACACAGTTCTAGCGTTGTAATTAGTTCCTCACCCCTGTTGCACTTAGCTCTCACTTCACTTCTATTGTCTCACCTTCCCTCATTCTATTTTAGCACTTTGTTTTGTTCTCGTAACACATTATTGAATGTATATTAATCATTGATTCAGCATGGTTACTCTTCAGTCACGGCTTTCCACTGATGATTGTGACAAGAAAATCGATTTTGGTAAACCTTCATGACTTTGTTGTAGGGTGGCGATGACAGCAGAATTTTTTCTCTTTATAGCTATTATAAAATGTGTAGCAGTCTTTTATTTTGATTAAAAATTTTCTTTGAAGGTTGGGTGTTTACCACATTGTCCTTCTTGAGAGTGATGCCTTAAAGCCCATTTGCAAAAAAAACCACTGAATCATACATGTGCACGCAGATTGAGAGTGCCTGCTAGGCCCAGACAGATCCTGCCGGCAATTCTTTCGGCAAAATATCGAAGAATTGAAAAAATTGCCGGCAAAATCGGAGCAAAATATCGAGATGTTGGGTAAAATCAATGCCTGATACTTGGATTTCCTTGGTTCAGCAGGATACACTGCCCAGGACAAGATCATGCCACCGAAATATCACTGGGATTCACTGTGGATCCACAGGATTTTGGAAGAACTCAGGGACACGTGCGTGGAAATCCGTGTTGAGAAACCGACCCTGCGATTTTATGAAACGTTGTACGGGATTGTACGGGAATTGGATAAAATTACACGTTTTTCCGGAGCAAAATGGAGCAAAATATCGAGATTCTTGTGCCAGGCTTGGCAAAATATCGTAGATTTCGCAGCAACATTTTGCGGCAAAATATCGAGGCGAGCGGAGCAGAATCTGTCTGGGCCTAGTGCCTGCAAGACATACACCGCACTGTATGCATGTTACATGCCTGCACAGGCTACGTATGGATATACTGTATGTATTCGCAATTTTCTGCGAGTCACGGTGACTTTTGCGTAGCAGTAGATCGATTTTGCATCGCAAACTGCGATGCGATACAGGATAAATTCATCCATGCTTCAGTCTTCACTTTGCACAGTCAGTGGAGCTGGGTGCGATTGCTTGCTCAATGCAGGGGCCATGTGGTCTGGTTGAGTAGCGTGGCCCTAGCGCCCTGGCCTTGCAGGGGGGTTTCCCGTGCTGGCACCCCCGAAAATGCGCCATGTGCGTTTTGGCTTATCCCCACGCCACGTGACTACAGTGTACAGTATTACCGAGCTATGTAACCAGGTAACGCGCTAGCGTTACTTTACGGTGCTTGTGAGCGTGCACTCGCGCGGAGCAGCGCGTAAGTCTACGCGTCTGGTCGATCGGTCACGAAGTTTCAAATCACGAAGATGCAGCTTCGCAGAAAAAATGTTTCGAGAAATGTGCCATTTTTGTGGAAGACAAGCTAGCTGGCCGGGTCAGCCGCGCGAGGCGTTGGTTCATAAACAACTCGCCAGTCCAGGACAGCTCGACAGGCGGTTTCGACATCCTCGTTTGGCCGATCCTCTCCGGCTCCGCTCGTTTTGCTTCACACCCCCAGTAGTACACAGCTCTGAGCCTCAGCGGATGTTTGTAGTTTCCACATCATTTTCAGAGTGTCACTTTCGAAGTTTCAGTGTAGTTTCGTGTTTTGCCAACGAAGTGAAGTCCGAGGCTGTTGGCTAGTGCAGGTGAAGTTCAAGTTAGCTCAAGTCTCTCGTACAACGGACCGTGGGTCAACCAACATACCGCGATACTGCCAGCCTGTGACGACAATAGCTCTGTGCTCCCCTGAAGCCACGGCCTGCCTGGGTCCGACCGTCGCCCCTGCTTCGGCTGCTGCTGCTGCTGGTTTGTTGAATTCGTGAACCTGTTGCTGTCACAGTCAGCTGCTTAGGACAAGAAATGGTGGTCCTCATAACTGCCCCGTCGTAGCTGAGAGGAGTGAGGGACAGCTGCGCGAGTCGTTCAAGGCGCTCAACCGACGGAGATTCCCCTGACGAGAAGCTACATACCTGTACGTAGTTTGAAGTACAGTGCATTAGTACATTGTACAGACTCAACCCCGCGGCACGGTGCGGTGCAGTGGAACTACATTTGAACAGATCTACACCGGCAGGTTACGGCATCAGTGGTCACACACCACACACACGCACACACACGCACGCGCACACACACACACACACACACACACACACACACACGCACACATACGCACACACGATGGGTAGTCACACTGGTGCTGGCTTGAAGAGCAGATATCGTCGCCGCGGCCACCATGCCGTGTGTGTTACACGCACCACTCTCCACCTGCTGTTGATCTTCACGACGCTACTCATCCTGGCGACTCTCATGTACGAGTACTTCCCGAGGGCGAAACGAGGTGTGAGAATGCCGAGACGGTCTACTGCAGTCCACGGCGCTCACCGCAAGCCAGGAAAACCTGCGGAGAAATTGCTCCAGGCGCACATCGAGAGGATATTTGCAACTCACACGGCAGAGCCACCAGGTCTGGTTGAAAACTTGCAGCAATTCAAGCGGCTGGGAACGCACGGTAAAAGTCGTGTACGTGTTAAGCTGCGCGGTGATGATCGCGAACACCAAGTTGCCGACGAGTCATCATCCAACCTGACGTCAGTACCTGCACACGGGGCAGTGGTGGCCAGAGCGAAGCGGAATCGGTCGAGGCTGGCCGTGTAGCCGGCGCCGCCGGGGAAGTGGATTGGCGTGTGTTGAATAAATCAGCACTGACACAGACTAGACGTGTACTTGTACATCAAACCCGGGCATACACGTAGTGTGTACAGGTCAGGGAGACATTGCGGCATTGCTGGGCACAGGTGCCGCCGCTGTGCTGTTCGTAACTTATTATGCTCGATTACAGGCGTGCTATTTATTTCTTCACAACACACTCACACCATGTGCTAGGCTGCTACACTCTATTTAGGATCAAAACTCTTTTCAATTGCAAACTTATTTTTTAGTTATTTTTTTTTTTACAGAACGGTTCATAAGTTATAGCCCTGATGTCGCTGCTGTGGTGTGGTGTTGTGCAGCCCGGAGTGCACGTCTTTTTTTCTGAGCAGATGCGTCGGTAGTCTGCGTGCCCGTGTGATGAAGGGTGTTGGAATAGGCTTTCAGGGTGCTGCGTGCAGTGTTGACTCTCACTGTGTGCACGTGCAATATGGTGTGATACATGTACGGCGATTGTACGCCATTAGTACATCACTCGAAAGCACACACAACACACGAATCGTGAGCTGTCACAGGAGAGGAACAACTTCCGCAGGAGAGGATCCGATCCCAAATTTCGGTGAGGTAGCGGATTGGGATTCTCCGCCACGGCGGAAGTTAGTTCCGCTAGTCGCAATATCCATGGTGATACACAATGTTGCGACACCGCCGCCGTGGAGTCCCAGATTTCAAAAAAGCACGCGGGACTGAACCCTAACTTATAACGGAACTTCCAGCTCTATCTATGATTACAGCTATTGTGAAAAATGTAACAAAAGGCTTTCTAAAAGTTAGACCAACTTTGACACCGAGCCGATATTAAAAAAATGCTGTTTTGTTCACAAGACGAGACAAGTTCCCTACTTCATGCATAACTAGTAACTACAGTGTACTGCAGTGCTGCTCAATGAAATCCAGTCGCGTCCGAGTCACGTTTGCGTCTTGCATCATTTCGCAGCCCAGTGTTAGCAGGTCTTGGGCTGTGCAACGCCCGGCGAGTACTCGAGCGACACGACGACTGGATTTCATTGATCAGTACTGTAGTGCATGATCAAGTACACATTTTCAATGATGAAACTGTGTGGAATGCATACAGTAAAACCGGTCAAGGCGACCACCTGTCCCAGAAGACCACTGCAACCAGGACCCAAGGATGCTATTTCCAGTCAAATGACCCTGGATAAGGAGACCACCTGGTAACAGAGACCGTGTTCTGAAGGTCCCTTGAGCGGCCGTCTTAGACAGCTTTCACTGTATATTATTATTATGGGCCCTATAGCCTATACTACAAGCACATCTGTGACTCTATCATTATTCGAACATTTCCCCTATCCGAACCCCTTCTGAAAGGCGTCTGCCACCAGGGGTTCCGGAAATCGATGCTCTACTCTATACACGTCGTGTTTTCTTTACGCAAAGCCAGCGTTGGGATGGGGTGGACACACACACACACACACACACACACACACACGCAGACATATGCACACACATGATTTCCTTTTCTCAAATCAGATCACAGCAGACGTGAGAACTTCAGACCACTTGCTGCTAATACTAGTACAGTCGTCCCTCTCTAATCCGGCACTTTATAATCCAGCACCCTCGATAAACCAGCACAATTTTCAGTAGCCAAAATGTCCTCTTTATGCACATTGCAGCAGTAAATCAGATTTGTTAATCCAGCACCCTCCCTAATCCAGCAGATTTTCGTGGCACAAATGGTGCCGGATTATAGAGGGACCACTGTAATAGTCTACTGTACACATCTGATGTCCTACTCACTTTTAGGTTATCACAAAATTAGTACACTGCACATTTACTTGGGGAAGACTGACTTGATGTAAACCTACATGCATGCAGCACTCACCTCTCCGCCTAGTCTGAAATTTCCAACTCGGCTTCTCCCTGTATTGGAGCTGCTTCGTCTGTTCGATTTGAGAGATTAGATCAAGCTCAATAGGCGAGATCGGACTCTGGCTTCATCACGAGCAAAAGTGAAATACATGAACATTCGCGTCAAGATTTGACAGAGAACAACAAGAATGCCTCTTTCGTTTTTCAAATCTCCCGGCCCGACTTGTCTGTCCACGTTTTTTGTATCATCCTTTCGTATCTCTGACGTAATTCCAAAGGAAGCGACGTCACGTGCACATGAAAGGTGAAGGTTCATCCCTCTTGTACATTTTTGTGATCTGCTTGCATACACGATCGTTTGACTTCGTTCTCTCAGTTCTGCCCAGGACATTTTGGTTTGTGAGTCGAATCTCTCCCGTTCTGACCCTTGTAGTGAGGGAAACTTAGGGAAACTTACTGCTTGTGAGTAGATAAGGAGCTGTAGTACGCCATGTCTGGAGAGATCAGGTTCGATGGACGCGTCGCGCTCGTCACAGGCGCGGGTCAAGGTAGGGCTGGTGTACGAAGTATTCGTATCTTTGAGAGAAGTCGTTTTTTTACTGTGGGCGGTGCTGGGGTGTGTGTGCTCCTACGACTGGCTGAATGGCTGTACTAGTATGCATTACACCGTGGACTAGTGTGTCGAATCGTTGAGCAGTGCGTGTACATGTTGAGAATTTCGTTCTCAAAACTCAACGCTTGACTTGTGCAGACCGATTTCAGTGGGAGTTGGGTTGATCTCACAACCGTTCCACACTTGCTGCAGTACACTTTAGCGTACAGTCTGTGCCTTATGGTAAACGGAGAAGACAACAAAATCAGAAGTCTTATGCTCACCTTGATGACGCTGCACATAGGTGCCTTGTGTAGCGGGCTGGCAGAGGTCTCTCATGGCGTACATACAGGAAAGCATGAACCATCAACACGAACGACGCGCAGAAAATGCTGCAGCGAAGAGTAATGTACACTGCACGTGTACTACTGCATGTATTTTTCCATACACCTTGGATTGAGTGGGTGCTTCCTGGCCATCAGTGAGACGAGTGTAGCACAATGACGTCATCTACCGGTGTATGCCACGCGTGCCAAACAGTGTTGGTTTCGTCTGTATCGCTGTACACGTGTGCCGAACCAAGTAATGTGTGGGGGGGGGGGGGGGGGGGCTGACATGCTTGCGGCGAGCATGCACTTAATCGGAAACCTCTTTTACAGAGTTGATTGGACAGATTTTCCTGCATGTGCACGGTGCATGCCATACACAGCTTCCATTATCACTGTTCGACCAAGAGCAAACCCAGTGCATGTACAATGACTGTACATTGTCGTGTACTATGTGTAGTGGTATGTGTCTGCCAAACAAGATACGCCACATAACAGTGTTGTCCATTGTCGTTGTGGTCACTTGTGACTGCACAGTGAAATCTCTGGTACAATATAAAACATGTTATTTTCGGTGTAACTTTAATTTCGATGATTACGGTAGACAAAAAGCAGGCACCTAAATTTAAATTACATCAAAAGGCACTAGAGCATGCACTGTATGTGGCGGGAACGCTGGTCGCCTAAGCCTAATTCTACATTACAACTGAAACCTGGCAGGTCCCTGGCACCGAAATTTTAATTCACCTAAAATGACATGTTTTACAGTACTTTGAAGTAGTTGTACCTGGCTCCTCGCCTGACAAGTAATTAACACCACCAAGGGTACTAGCGGATAGATGTCGTGACTATGCTCTATGCGATTTGCTGGCTGCACGCTATGACATACGTGGCATGTGCGTGTGTGTTTGTGCGACTCCCATCCCTGGTAGCACCGGTATGGCAGCAACTACCGGTACTGTGCTAGAACTGCTTGTTGTGGGATGTTGATGCATGTTGTCAAGAGTGTGTACTGTAGGACATGTTATTATCACGAGGCGCAAATTTAACGATTGTCCAATATCCATAGGTTACCGAGAACATACGATAACGATCTTACAGTCTGCATTCAAATCCGCACATATTACGTATGTGGCCTTACAGCCTCAACAGGACTTATTATAACGAAGAAATATCACCCGTTAAAACGTTAGATTTGCTTCCTCGTTATAATTATTTACATGTTTTACAGTAACTCAGATCTCCGAGCTGCCTTCGGTACGTAGTGAAATGACGAACAAGCCGACTGGATTTGAGAGCTCCTACGGTGCGGGAGCAAACATTTGACGCAGAATACGGCAGGTTCCTGTTCGCGGCGTATCACGTACAGCATGATCCAAAGTCTCAGAGAAAACGTACTTAGCATCTGGAAACCGTAGCAGATCAGCTGCCTGAGCTGATTCCCCAGTTCTTGTCTGAGTGATAATGTGAGGAGTGCGCCTCGCCAGACCAGAGATTATGATGTAATGTGCAAAGCTGATACTCTTGCTAGTACATGTACCGTAAAGTATCGTTGATCCGCCCCCTCTCTAATTCCCGTCCCCTGTCGATTTTCTACCTGTGAAGCGACTTTGGCGTATACAACGAAAATACGATGTTGAACCACCGCATGCACTGCTGTACACAATACTTGCCAATCCAGGATGAAAATGTGCACAATCCAGCACATCGAGTCTTCTACGTTGTTGTACATCGTACTGCACTTGACAGCCTTGATCTAATTCCCATCCCCTGCCGAAAACCCAGCTGGGAAGCGACATGGCGTGGGGGCGGATCAACGGTACTACAGTAGTACTTTACGGTACTGTACTGAGGACAGTGAGGTATGGACTCTTGAAGACTTGATGTTCTAAGGCCCAACACTGCCAGTATTCATCAGAGCTCCCATATGGTCTAGTGGTTAGGATTCGGCGCTCTCACCGCCGCGGCCCGGGTTCGATTCCCGGTGTGGGAACATTACTTTTTTTCTTCTCTTTTTTCATGTATAAACTTGATGGGAAGTACATCCCTCTCTGTACAACGGACATCAGGTAACCAAACATATCTTTCCTATTTTTTTGGCTTTTTTCTGACTGCTAAATTCATTCCTACTTGCGCGAGCACCTGTGGAACTGAGCAAATTAATTGTCCCATATGTGGAGGTATCCTGTCAGCATGCTTTCTTCTTCTTTTCCTTTCCTTCTTTTTCCATCCTCTTTGTCGGTTGTTCTGTTTGCCATGGCTGGCTCTCACCCTTCATCTCAACTCAAATATTGGCAGTCATTTGACGTGCCAAGAGAAGTTATCTAATTCTAAAAATTAATAATGAAAAAATTACCTATAATGGAAGTTTCACTCCACATGTAAATGTGCTCATACTCGGTTCTTATGTGCTTGTGTGACTTTATTGTTTTGTGTGTGTGTGTGTGTGTGTGTGCACTACTAGGTCTGGGCCGTGCCTACGCCATTCTGCTGGCTTCACGCGGAGCGGCAGTAGTCGGTAAGTCTCTCTCCCACAATCCAGCCTACCGTTTTTCAATTAAGACTACAGTGTGAGCTCTATGAAATCCAACCCCAAGTGCATATTTGACGCCCCAAAGTGCTTATTTGATGCCCCAAGTGCATATTTGATGCCCCCAAGTGCTTATTTGACGCCCCAAAGTGCTTATTTGATGCCCCAAGTGCATATTTGATGCCCCCAAGTGCTTATTTGACGCCCCAAATGCATATTTGACGTCCCATGTGCATATTTGACGCCCTTCACTTGCACTGTCCCTGGTGCCCCGGAAGTGGTACAAATGCTGCTAGACGTACACAATGCAGTGAATACAGTCAATACACGTACAGGGATGTAATGGAAACTGGTCCAGAGTGCCAGTTTTGCACACTGGGTCGGATTTCGGTGAGCGCAACTGTAGAGTTCACATGTCCTGGGCACACAGTTGGCAAGAACACTAAACTGGCTTACTTGTGAGGTGGGTTTGACCAAAAGAAGAGAAAAAAACAACTTTCAGAGCATATTCAAGCACCGTGCCAAGTCACAGATTCTTGCCAGAGAGGCCTTGCCATCAACAAGGAAACCGATAGGAGACATTGAGATCCAGAATGCCCCCCCCCCCCCCCCCCCCCCCCCGTCTGCACACTAGTGACAGTCATGACAGCAATCTGTCCCCTTGCTGTTTGACCACTTCTAGTAATATCAAGAGTGTTATTATAACCCCCCCAAGAGTGTGCAACTCTGCATATGGGGTCTCCGACGGCGAAAACTCACATCACGTGTCTCAGATACCTTTGTACTACGTACAAACGTAGGATAGCGTGCGCGCAATCCGAACATCTGCCGTGATCATGCTGGGGATTTGCATACGCGCAGTGAGTTTCGGTCAGAGAGTGCTTTTTTTAGTACTCCGCTGCTCGCTAAAAACGGGCTGGAAACGTACAACTGCGACACTGCACCACGTGATGTGAGTTTTCGCCGTCGGCGTACCCCATAGAAAGGGTATCAGGAGTTGCACACTCTTGGGGGGTAATATACTCTTGGTAATATCCATGAACTTACCGAAGAGTTTACGCTGATGCTGTGTCAGAGCGATACCGTAGAATCCCGCGGATAAGCTCACCAGCGTATAAGCCCATGATCGCGCATAACCCCAGGCCAAGTTCGAACATCGCGAAGCTTCGTCGTACAAGCCCATGGGCCTAGGTCGCACCATGTACGTACAGTCAACTTCGCTTATAACGACACTCGGCGGGGCATCAGAAAAGTGTCCTTATTCACGAAGTGTCGTTATACCCGAAGTCTCATTATATGTGTCACAGTTGGATGGGACCTTGCTCTGGGCATGAAAATTCTGTCGTAATTCGCGAATTGTCGTTATATCCGCAGTCGTTATTAGCGAAGTTGACTGTAGTACCAAGAGTACATAACCATACTCTTGGTAGTACGTGTAGGATTTTTTGTACATTTCAGCACAATCATCGGTTGTTTTTGGTTTGCACAGTGGTTTTCAGCAATGTACTTCTCACTTCCTTGATACTTTTCAATAGCACAATTTTGGTGTCGGCGTATAAGCCCATGCCCTCATATCAGCCCATGTTCTTGTATAAGCCCACCGAAATGTCCTTGTGAAACAGATAAGCCTATGTAATGCGCTTATCCGCGGGGTTCTGCGGTATGCTAGTGGAGAGGGTTGGCTCTGATCTGCTGCTTTTCATACTGCCATATTACTGGGCTTCTCAACATTTGGTACCGGATCTCCTTTCTCATGAACTGTGTCTCCCATATGGTCTAGTGGTTAGGATTCGGCGCTCTCACCGCCGCGGCCCGGGTTCGATTCCCGGTGTGGGAACATTTCTTTTTTTCTTCTTTCGTGTTTTTGTGACAGCGCCATCAAAATGCATGTTCCGGAGTCGAGTGAACACATATACATGTACTTGTCATTGAAATGATTTTTTTAAATGTTTTGTTTTGTTCTTCTAGTGAATGACCTTGGTGGTGGTGCTCAAGGAGGTGATGGTGGCTCTTCTCGCCCCGCTGATATAGTTGTCGAGGCGATTCGCGCTGCAGGCGGGAAAGCAGTCGCTAACTATGGTGAGCCGATGCTGTGTGTGTGTGCGTGCGTATGCGTGTGTGTGTGTGTGTGTGTGTGTGTGTGTGTGCGTGTGTCTGACTCTGTGCGTCTGTGTTTCTGTTTATCTACAACCATCTGTCTGTTTTTCTGTCTGTTCGTCTACGATTGTCTGTCTCTCTATGCATCTGTCTGTTTTTCTGCACATCAGTGTGTCTTCCTGGCTGGCTGCCTGGCTGGCTGCCTGGCTGTCTTTATACTGTGATGTTTTTTGTTTGTGTGAACTGAAATTCTCCCCCCTACATTTTCTGCTTATGCAGTATTCTCCTAATGACTCGGTGTTTGTGTGTGCGCGCGCGCGCGTGTGTGTGTGTGTGTGTGTGCGTGTGTGTGCGTGTGTGTGTTCTTGTATGTTCTTATTTTGTGTTTGTGCATGTGTTCAGATTCAGTGGAAGAGGGAGAGAAGCTGGTCAAGACTGCGCTGGATGCTTTTGGCAGAATCGGTGAGGGTCACTTTGATTCCATTTCCATACCCCCCCCCCCCCCCCCCCCCCCCTGCAGTTATTGCTTTTACTGATTGTGCTGTGTACACACAGCATTCCTTGGTTGCATGGCACGCAACATGCGTAATCGGATTACTGGGAGATCCTCTGGACTTGCTATAGGCCCAGTCCCTAGTAGTCAGTATGGTCATGCATGCCATGATGTGACTGGTAATCCCCTCACCTACATCAACCATGCTTGTTATTCTGTGATGTGAGCGACAGCGGTGACAGTGGTCATGACGGTCGGTGTTCACTGGCCAACAGCTCAGCTCATGCTGCGACGACTCTAGACGAGAAGGCAGAAATGCCCGTGTATCTGGTGAAGTTATATAAAACCAAAAAAGCAATCTGCTTAGCAGTACGTGTACATGTATTTTGACTCTTGTGTGCGGCCTCATTGGGTTACAGCTTCTGAGCGATGCTTTCAGTTTGAGTCTGTGTATTGTCTGTACCCGTGTGTTGAAGCTCTTTTGTTTGTTTGCTTGCTGTCTCTGTTATTCTTGTTTTGCTTGTAGATATTGTGGTGAATAATGCTGGGTAAGTGTCAGCTGGTGACGTGTGATGTGTGACGAGTGAATATTGTACACCAGCCCTACAGAGGCAACAGAAATGTGGAGTCAAAAGTAGTAATCTTGCGCCAGCTTTCTACTTGTACTTGTCAGTCGTGTGTGACATCATCACTTTCAAGCCCTGTTGGTGCATGGTGCTGGTTATCCGACACAGCTCCTTTTAGCGCTGACCATATTTGGGTGTTGTCTTGTTTGTGTTTGCTGTGCTTAGAATTCTGCGTGACAAGTCTTTCCTGCGTATCACAAAGGAAGATTTCGGTAAGTGACTTGTCTCGATAGTCGCGTCGTCCGGTTGAGCGGGGAAACTGGTGGAATCCGGCTTCGTTGCTTCAAGTCGTAACAATATTTATTGTTCATTGCAAGATTTAAAACTCTGGTGCTGAGCCAATAGTATTTATGTATTAGAGAAATGTCGAATGTCTCAGTACTCCTGTCAGTTTTGTGCCTCGTTGTCACACTATCTGACAGTATATTATCTCGTTACCTTGCTGGACTGTTAGTCATAACTCCTAAACTACTGGTCCTTTCTCTTTACATTGCAAGACATGAGCACTTTCTTTGACTTTTGGTAAGTCCTACCTTTCCCACGCAGTTTAGTGAAGTGGACTGTTATAACACAGGGGCGTCGGTGCGGAAGGTCCGGCCAAAGCCGCACCAAAAATTTATCTTGTTACTTTTGAAGCAGTGAAATATGGGCTATTTTGGCCCAATTTCCCTAAAATTGTCCGGGAGGGGAGGGGGGGGGGGGGGGGGAACCTCCGGACCCCCGCCTACTCATGCGGCCGCACCAATGTCGAATACCTTCCGGCGCCCCTGTGCCGTTACAACATAATAGGTTGAATTCTGCTGCATGTTCTGGAAGTTCCTAAGAGTGTATATGTACACCTGGTTGTGTTCTGTGCAGATATCATTCAGCGTGTGCACTTGCGTGGTTCCTTCCTTGTCACACAGGCCGCGTTCCCTCACATGAAGAAGAACGGTTTTGGTCGGTACGTTCCAGTGGCTGTTGCTACCTGTCTGGACCAGTGGCGCTCTCTTATGGTCTCTCTCTCACTCTCTCTCTCTCACTCCCTCTCTCTCTCTCTCTCTCTCTCTCTCTCTCTCT